TATTGGAATGACTACTCGAAACTGAGTTTATATGAGGCCTACCATCAGAAACAGGTGCTAAACAAAGCCAAGAATGTGATCCTATTCCTGGGCGACGGTATGGGTATATCCACTATAACACCGGCCCGTATACTGAAGGGTCAGCTCCGGGAGCAGAGCGGAGAGGAGGCTAAGCTGACGTTTGAAGAGTTTCCATACGTTTCCCTCATTAAAGTCAGTCTTAATTTAAAACATTTCTTTAGAAAGATTTATTAAATATATATATATATTATTTGTTGTAGACATACAATGTTGACTATCAGGTGCCAGACAGCGCCGGTACGGCCACGGCATTCATGTGTGGCGTTAAGACCAACAAAGGTGTGGTGGGAGTGACGGCTCGGGTTCAGCCCAAAGAACCCAACTGTGATGTCGTCCAACAGAATAGTGTCTCATCTATACTGAAGTGGGCCTTAGATTCCGGTAATCATAGCATTCACTCAATCATTGAATATTCTGTTCACTAATTCTGTGAGACTTTAGACTAAATATTTGTGTAAATTATGCAAATTTTTAGGTAAGAGCGCCGGTGTTGTGAGCACTGCCCGCATAACCCACGCCACACCTGCCGGTGGGTACGCAAGTGTCGCCAATAGGGACTGGGAGGCCAGTATGCCTGCAGAGGCTAATACACAGCCAGATCGGTGCAAAGATATAGCCAGACAACTGGTCGAGAATGAGCCTGGTGCTAATCTGAGTGTCATATTGGGCGGCGGCAGACGTTATTTCATACCCAAAGAACAGACTGACGGCCAGGGAGGCGGAGCGGGTCTGCGAACTGACGGCCAGAATATGATCGATAAGTGGCTGAAACTGAAGAGTGAAAGTGGTTTGCCGTCCGATTCATACCAATACGTGAACACGAGATCTAAGTTGCAGTCAATCGACTACAAGAAAACCGATTACCTGTTCGGTCTGTTCAATGGCGACCACATGGCCTACGATCAGGAACGGGATGTGGGACCGGATGGTGAGCCCAGTATTGAGGAGATGACCGACGCGGCCATACGGGTGCTCCAGAAGAATGATAAGGGGTTTGTGCTTCTGGTAGAGGGCGGACGTATAGACCACTCACATCACGATAACTTCGGGGTTATGGCGTTGTGGGAGACCATCGCCATGGATAAGGCGGTGGAGAAGGCCGTGAAGTCAACCAATTTGGATGAGACCCTCATTGTGGTGACGGCTGACCACTCGCACACCTTCACGATGAATGGTTACCCCAAGAGAGGCAACGATATCAGAGGTGTGGCCGGAACTGATGATAATAAGGTGGGATTCACGACACTTATGTACGCTAATGGACCTGGACACCAACACGATAGGGTTGACCCTAACACTGTCGACACCAGTATGTCATTGATTATTGCGGTTAAAGTAGTGTAACATTAATGGTCGTATTTTTACAATAACCTAGCACAACTTAGGTACCGTGATCTGTCAGCTGTTCCTATAAGTAGTTCAAATCATGGCGGTGAGGATGTTGGTAAGTGTACCATGCTCATTATCTATAAAAATGTTAGATTAATTAATATAAACTTGATATATGAGCTATAGTAAGTTTTATTTTAGAAACAAGCTAACTAGAAAACTTTAATATAATCAGTTTATAAATGATATACTTTAAATAACCTGATCACTAAATGTACCCTGGTATTGGTATGTCTAGCCCTATACGCTGTGGGTGCGATGTCTCACATATTTCATGGCACTCAAGAGCAGCCATATGTGGCCCACGGGATGGCATTTGCCTCATGTATTGGTC